GCACACTTGTATGGATAAAGCGCAAGCAATGCGCATTGAGTCATGTCTTCCAGACTCCTGGTGGGAATTTGCTGTTCTACATGCAGTACATCTCTATAACAGGACTCCTGTACATCGCCTGAAATGGCTGACACCTTATGAGAAACTGTATAGAGAAGCACCGGAGATTTCTCATCTACGCGTCTTTGGATGTGGTGCTTATGTCTACATTCCAGAAGAACGCCGCAGTAATAAATTAGCACCTAAGTCCGAACTTATGGTGTACATAGGGCAAGCAGATGGCATTAAAGGCCATCTGTTCATAAGACTTGGAAATAATACTTTATACATGCAAGCTACAGCCTTATTTGATGAGAATCTCTTTCCTAAGTGTGATTCCAACAAACGCCGTGGAGTTACAAAATTAAATGAGCCTCTACTTAATGAAGAGCCAGACCCACAGCCCATCCCTTTAGTGGACGATGATGATTTCCTACCATCTCACCCTCCACCTTCCACACGAAAAGAAGGGCCTCAGTTCTTGACGAAGAACTTAGCACTCCACAGCCAGAGGAACCCTTGCCTTCTCCTGTGCCAGAACAACAACCAGTGCCTCTCCGGCGCTCTACACGGGAAAGGAAAGTTGCACTTCGCCCTGGGAATGTCTACGGAGAAAATAGGCAACCCGTCGATCAGATTAGAGACATTCAGCAGATGCGGCAATGGAGACAAGCAGTGGAACCTCGGGGTAGCTCCCCGAATCCATCCGCGCGTTTGAGACAGGTTCCTGGTCCTAGTCTGACACTCCGGCCCGCTCTAGCGACGATCTGCTGTCACCCATAAGGGGGAGTGACGATGAAGTTGAGGATCTAGTAGATGCGTATCTCAACTAGCCCAGGAAGGGGGAGGAGAATTTGTGAATTATTTGCTCGCCAAAGCAGTTCCACATATTTCACAACCACTAGACATGTCCAATATACGGGAATGGACATATAGAGATATTTTGTGCATGCCTGACGTGCAACAAAAGGAATGGAAGGCTGCTTGTCGTGAAGAACTTGAGGCACTTCGCAGACGAAAAGTCTTTACGCTTGTGGACCCTCCCAAAGGGAGGAAGACAATTAAAAACAGATGGGTCTTTGACCAAAAATCTGATGGTGTAAGAAAGCCAGGCTTGTTGCTAAAGGCTTTTCTCAGGTTGAAGGTATTGACTTCAATGAAATATTCTCGCCTGTTGTAAGGTTTGAGACTGTCCGGTTGATGCTCACGCTTGCAGCGCTTGAGGATTGGCACATCACTGGATTAGATGTCAAAAGTGCATTCCTGTATGGTGAACTAGAAGAAGAGCTATATATGGAACAACCTGAAGGTTTCAAGATTAAAGGACAAGAAACCAAAGTACTACGACTACAACGCGCCATTTATGGTCTTAAACAAGCTGCCTTAGCATGGTGGAAGGCGCTGGATAAATCCATGGCTGCAATGGGCTGTAAACGCCTACTCTCAGACTCAGGCCTATTTCTATATAAGGCTAATGATGGGTCGATCGTTGTCATCATTGTATATGTTGATGATGCCCTTTTTATGGGAAATGACAAAGTCCTAGTCAGTAAATTAAAAACTGACTTCATGAACAAATGGGAATGCAGGGATCTAGGAGATACAAAGGAGTTCTTGCGAATGCGCATCACTAGGAAAAATGGCAAAGTTCTACTCGATCAACAGCCATACCTTACTAAAGTGCTGCAACGCTTCGGGATACTTAATGCAAAATTTGCGCCCACTCCTCTCCCAGAAGGCTATCATCCAGAGCCTAACACTGAACCTGCTGATCCTTCCATTCGTTCAAAGTTCCAACAAGTAATCGGCTCATTACTTTACATTATGTTGGGCACGCGACCAGATATTGCCTTTGCAGTGACAAGGCTATCTCAATTTGCCGCTAATCCATCTCAAGATCATCTTGATCGAGCGCTGTATATCTGTCGATATTTAGCTGGGACATCGGATTACACACTTATCTACGATGGTAGATCAAATGGCGGATTGATCGCGTGTGCTGATTCTGATTGGGCGTCAAACCCAATCGATCGCCGATCTACTACTGGATATATGGTGAAAATAGCGAATGGGATATTCAGCTGGAATTCTAGAGTGCAAAAGACCATAGCGCTTTCGTCCACTGAAGCAGAATACATGTCGCTTTCTGACACAACGCGACAAGTTGTATGGATCAAATCGCTTCTTAGCGAAATTGGCATTGATCTAGGACCCATTCCCCTCTGCGGTGATAACCAAGGCTCCATTTTTATGGCCTCTAACCCTGTACAAGAGCGGCGGATAAAGCATATTGATATCCGCTTCCATTATGTCAGACAGATTGTACAAGAAAAGAAAGTAGAGCTATTTTTTATAGAAGGAGCTGAGAATCCTGCAGACATGTTCACCAAAAATTTGGGACGCGTCAAATTCCTGAAGTTCAGGAGTCAACTTGGGCTAGAGATTACCTCGCCTAAGTAAAAACACATTGCTTAGCATGCTTAAGCAGCGACACTTAGCAAGGGGGAGTGTTGAACCAGAGTACCGGTACAGTGATACCGGGATAGTGGTCCAACATTATTGTGATCGCGTTTAGATAACATTAATTGATGAGATCAAAATGCGTTTCACATTAATTAGATAACTGAGTATAAATATCTCAGATCGATCATGTGATTTGATCACATTCATTAACGAGCGAGATAACGCGTTCATTTTACTTTAGATTAGTAGCTGATAATAGTACATCTAAAAATGTATATAAAGTCACTAAAACTGCTATAGATGAAGCAGTCGTTATCGCATTATTGCAAGCAGCTAAGTCTCTGAATTAACAAGGTGAGATAGATAGTAGTACAGTAGTATCTAGAATATAAGCCTGTGCCATGCCTGTTCCTTCACTTCAGGCATCTAGGTTAGGGTCTAAGCTGTGCAAGATTAGATTAGATATTGATTCAGAGTTTCGGACTTTTTACCATATCATTATTACTTTCTTTCTTGCGATGCGCAGCAGCTGACTGATGTACCTTAGTAATCCTGTATAGCATGTGATATCTCGTTGGCCAATGGCCTTTGTCCCTCAGTAGTATATTCTAGCGCATTCCATTGCGCACAGACCATTCCTTGAGTAGTATATAAGGGTGTCTGTTTCGTCTCTTACACTTCAGAGTTTTCTTCACCTCTGAAGTGTAAGTCCCAGTCTCTCTACTTACTATCTTACCTATAACTAACCGTCTCTTGTAGATAACTTGTTTCTAGGTGTGTAGTATAGTAATACAGAGTTTTCTTCACCTCTGAAGTATAACTTGTTTCTAGCCTTACACGCTAACTTCCAACAGTCAGTATCACTGCGCGCACATGCCTGTTCATCACCACAGTCAAGGTTCAAGGCCCACAAGATACAAGAGGGGCATGCATGTGAGCAGGGAGGCAAAGCAGTGGCAATAGGTGTTGAACACAGGACATGTTCAGTGATGCTTCAGGCATCAGGAGATTAGATTAGCTACTTCATGGACTAGATTAGATATCGGAGTTTCTGACTATTTACCATATCATTATTACTTTCCTTCTCACATTCTGCAGTAGCTGACTGATGTACCTTAGTAATGATGTACAAGCATGTGATACCTTATTGGCCAATGGCCTTATTCCCTCTTGTTTATTGTTTGGACTTTGTCTGGCACTTGAGGACTTATTCCCAGTGCACAGACCATCCCTTGGAATGTATATAAGGGTGTCTGTTTTGTCTCTTACACTTCAGAGTTTCTTCTACCTCTGAAGTGTAAGTCCCTTCTCTTGCTTACTATCATACCTTGAGACTAACACTCTTAGTAGTAACTTGTCTTTGTCTAGGTCAGTAGTATAGTATAATAGAGTTTCTTCTACCTCTGAAGTTAACTTGTCTTTGTCTAGCCTAACTTGCTAACCAACAGTCAGTATGCTGCACCTCATGCCTGTTTGACAGTCAACAGAAAATTGAGCATTGTCCCTGTTCTTTGGATTAAATTTTAATAATGGTTACTTCTTGAAAAATGGAAGTGTACCTGCTGTTGAGATGGGCCAGTAGCAACAGGATTGTTGGGGCTCCTGATCTTATGATTATGATAAGATAATCTAAAGTGTGTCAGATCATTGATTCAGAGACATTGCACACAACACATTCTTTCTGTCTTGTCACATTTAAATAACTATATTTATTCTACTTATTGTCATGCTCCTCTGAGCAGTATAAAATGTTGCTACTCTGCATGTGTTCACTTCAGTTTTGACCACATAAACTGAAGTGAGTATTAGTTAGTTTATCTTATCTCTTATCTTTACCATATTTAGCTAACACTTATCTACTATCTAAATAGGTAAAGATACTATAGTGGGGGAGTTTTGGTGGCTTAATGACAAGATTAAAGCCCTGCCATCCATGCTGTCTAATGCTGTCTACAGCCATTTTTTGACAGGTTTGGACAGCATTTTCCATACCCATAACCATCTGTCTTGATGATCGACTTGAGCTGGTACAGTACAGGTACAGCACTGTGCTACGGCACCGTCATACCGTAAGCTACGGGTACGGCGCGCAGCCCTAAATGTCACTGGCTGCTGGCTGAGCTAACGCCAGAGTATTGTAGTCAGAAAATCGCGACAAGTATCTCTGGACCCCATGGAGGATACAGTTCGTAAGGCTACACATTTCCAAGAGTAATTTCCCCCTAGATAGTACTGATTTACGAATCCCCAAGAAATCAGGCGAGGCGAACTTATGTGACGTAGCGCCTAAGTGATAGATAGAGAGCCCGGGGTAGCCCTATATACGGAGGTTCTTTGGCGGAGGAAATAGTGCTGCCCGAACAAGGTTCCTTATCGAGCACAAGGGTTCATGAAAATCAGGGATAAAGCGGGACTTGACATTAACATTGACACTAGACGCGTCGCACCGTGTCGTCACAACTCACTCATGGGATGGAGAAAGGGAGGGAAAAAAAATTTGCATCAAGCGGGAATCGAACCCGCGGCGGGTCGAACTCGACTGTGCAAGCAAGCCAGCATGGCAACGACCCAGGTTACCACTACCCCATTAATGCGTCAGATGAAAAATGGCAGCATTAACTTGACTATTGGCACTGGCGTCCCAGACAGAGGCGTGTCGTCCTCAGCCTCCGAAAATGCAGTCGAGAAAGAGTGGCATACTTCATCGTTAACGTTACAGTTATTACCATACTGCAGAGGTGCAGGGTCGGAAGATACGTACGCTCTATTATGCTGGTAATTGAGATTTCAGGACTCATAGTTTTACGCGACCGTCAGAAAAATTAAAGCCTGCTTCCAAGTCTAGGACGTCGCGCAGCAAGTTAGCAGTAACATACAGTTCCAGACAGCACGCGAAAATCTTGCTCACAAAGATGTGTCCATCCAGTCAAGCGCGAGGACATTTTGGAGTGCTTGAGGTTCGAGCAAGATAATCTTTTCATATCCAACTGGTCGAACTATGCGGATCATGGGACCAATAACTTTGCTTATTCTTATAAAAACTATCTGGCTCGCCATATACAAGAGTTAGAAAGTGCCCAAGACAAAAGACTTGACAAGGTGGGCTCGGTGGAGGTTTCCTGAGATAGAAGACGAAGACAACCCCGGCGAGCGGCGAGCAAACCAAATCGTGGTGACGGTGCCAAAAAGCCGCTGCACTACCGGGCCGCGGAACCCGATGATCATGAGAACGCCTCGACGCGCCACGCCACCTTTAAGTTTCACTTTTTCACTTTCAAAACAAACTGTTTTGTTGCGAGCCACCAGCGACAAGTCAAGCTTCAATCATGTCGCTGAGCCGTGCCATTCCGAGTTTCCCCGTTGTCTGTCGGCGTGCGTTAAAGCTGGTTCGCACGGAGTCCGTGACAGGTCATTCCTCAACGCGTTCTTTTGCTTCAGGTGCAGGTGCGCATATATTTATTGCCTTTCAAGAAAGGCATGAATAATTAAAAATATATGACATGTTGCCGCCAGCTGCTCCAGGCTCATCTCGTACGCGTCTTGTCAAGGACCTCGTACCAAAGTCATCAACAGGTCTCCCCCGCAAGTCTACGCGCAAGCTCCTTGAGGTTGCCCCGCGCGGTGCCTCGTCTGGATTCACCCGCGATACTCCCCCACACTCACTGAGACGTGGAAAAAAATTGTTTCGTGGTGCGGCATGGCCAGGGGGGGAAAGAGAAGGACGCTTGCGCAACTTGAGAGGCAGGGAAGAGGTTAAGATTGGAAAGCGCACTGCCGGGAAAGATGATGTTCGTGCACACGCGCAGGTTCGCCCTAGGCAGAGATGGCCGGAGCGGGATGGTCGCGAACGCGATATAACCACGCACAAGATTTCTTCACAAAACGCTGCGTTCGATATCGCCTCCGAGTTTGACCTTTCCACCCCAGCCGAAGCGTTGCATACACTCCCTCCTACATTTGCCTCACCCCCGCTCTCAGATGGTCTCCTCCAATCTGTTCGCAACCTGCTCGGTCCTGCTGCACGCCCAACACCAATTCAATCCCTCTCCTTGAAACATCTCTTCGTCAACTCAACATCCGATGAACCACGGCGCTTCCTCCTTGCATCTGAGACAGGCTCAGGCAAATCACTTGCTTACCTCCTTCCCATGCTGCACGACCTCAAGACGAATGAGAACCTGCAGTCGCGTCGCATGGGCCCGCGTGCCCTTGTACTGGCACCAACACACGAACTTGCTCGTCAATTAGCAAGCTTCGGCAAGGCATTAGTCCACCATGCTCGGCTACGTGTGCAGAGCGCGTCGCGCGCGAACGTTGCCAGCGGGGTCAAGGCACGAGTGTCAGCGGCGAAGATGGCCAGTGCATTTACTGGTAATGATGCAGTGGGTGAGTTCGAGGTGCATCATGGGAGCGCGACGGGTCACCCAGTGGACATGCTCGTGGGTACGCCAGCGAAGCTACTTGAAATGGCGCGTGGGAACGGGTGGAACAAGGAGTTTACGGAGGGCGAGGAGGCACGACGAAAGAAATGGGTTATAGGCAGACCAGAAGTCAGGCTTTCGGACGTCGAGTGGGTGGTGGTCGATGAAGCGGACGTCCTTTTTGGTGAGAAGCCTCGCGATCTACCCGCAGCAACATTACTGACAATATGGACCAGATCCCGACTTCATCGACCAAACGCTGCTTCTGCTGAGCGACGTCGCTGCTGCCCGAGGGAAGCCCGTCCCTATCATTAGCCGCGAGAATAAGACCCAAGCGCCGATGCTACTCGACTACCCATTCCATTTCGTCCTCACCTCCGCAACCATCCCCGCTGCCCTAGCTGCGCACCTCGACGCTCACCACCCAAGCATGACCCGACTTGTCTCGCCACGGCTACATCGCCTCCCCGCGCACCTTTCTCTCGAATTCGCACCGTACAGCTCGGGAAACCGTAATGCGGAAGTGCTCGCAAAGCTCAAGACCGTCTGGCGCGACGATGCGCTCGCAGGTCGACCTCGTGCAAAGGTGGTCATCTTTACCAACACACGCGCACGCGCAGGCGAGTTCGGCGCATACCTTTCCGAGCACAAGGTGGCCAACGTCGTCGTCACGGGAGGACAGGATAGTAAAGGCAAAGAGGGAAGCGGGCTGCGCTTGTACGGGTCGAACCGACATCTGGCGGGGTTTCTCAAGCCCATGTCGGGAAAAGAGGGGCCATCCCCGTCCGTATTGCCACTGCAAGGGAGTGGGGGTAGGGGCCGCTCAGCAGACAAGGTCGGGAATGACGGCCCGCATGTGCTGTTGAGCACCTCGCTTCTAGCTCGTGGTCTCGACTTTGACCCGAACGTCACCCATATATTCGTGCTCGAGCCCCCGCGTAACACGGCTGACTTCCTCCATCGCGCGGGCCGCACGGCGCGCGCGGGTGGAAGTGGGAAGGTGGTTGTATTTGGGAAAGCAGGCGGTCGTGGCTCAGGGAGGCTCCGCGAGATGCGCCAGCGACTCGCTGCTCTCCGAGCGCGCCGATGACCTCCCTCTCTCCGGTCTGTTTTTTTGTGCGTGTCTCCCCAACCGCGCTTATCGATCATTGCATGTTCGCTCTTTTTACTGCTGTTTTTCTTATATATCATTCCTGCATGCACCTGAACATGGGTAAAGCATGGGATGATACACCACTCCTCAACTCATTGAAGAACTGAGATGTGATGATGAAGTTAAATTTCCGCTTGCTGCGTTGCGCACAAAAGTCGTTGGCGCAAACTGTACCTATTTCATAAAACGGTTGTAAACGCAAAGGGACATCACGTGTCTCCATTTGCAAGAACGTCGCGCTCCAAGACGGCACGGAACTTAGAGCCATTCTACACTCCTGCCTAAAGGAATTTTAGGTATTTCAATACCGGCGGAGCGCGGAGATCTTTGACACAACGCTAGCTGACTTATACACGTCAGTGCGACTGCGACCACTCGTTACTACAACTGACCCTGACCATATCAGATATGCTTTAACTAGGCAGCAACTAGGCAGCATCTAGTAGTAGTCTCGATTGTTCATTCGAAGAGGATAAAAGGAAAGGGGTCCAAAGGCGGAACGTTTTTTCGGATGCCCCTTGCCTACCTACATTGTCTGTCCCGCGCTCGCATGACATGGGTGGATAAGTTGCGCAGTGGCGTACCCGTACACCACCAGAGCACTTAAAGTCCACCCGACTACTGCGAGCACCTCTCATTGTATTTCCCCACCAACTCCCACCCACTATAGGCATGTCAACAACTGAGTTCAGTTACCAATTTAACTACGAGACCTTCAAGGGCAAGGTCAACTTCCCTACCGGCATCTTCATCAATGGCAAGTTCTCCGCCGGAGCTAATCGCACTACCATCGAGTAAGAATACACACCCTTTTCTCGATAATGTTGCTTCACTTCCCGTTGCTCATTACCGCCTCACCGTAGCGTGATTAACCCCAGTTAGCAAGCCAACACTTACCCCGGGTAGTCAGTTGGCGTTCTTAAAAGTTTTTTTTTCCAGCGAATGGGAAGTTCCTCACCTCCATTGCTGAGGGTACCACAGATGACGTCAACCGCGCTGTTGATGCTGCCAAGAGAGCTTTTGACGAATCGTGGGGTCTTAGAATCCCCGGCGCCGAGCGCGGCAAGCTCCTCTACAGGTTAGCCGATCTCATGCAAAAGAACTGGGACGAATTGGCAGCGCTCGAGGCGCTCGACAATGGCAAGACCTTCAACGACGCCAGAGCGACGGACCTTACCATGTCCGTCGACACGATACGGTACTACGCCGGCTGGGCAGACAAGAACCACGGTCAGGTCATCGAAACAGACGAAACCAAGCTCGCGTACACCCGCCATGAGCCATTTGGCGTCGTCGGGCAAATCATCCCGTGGAACTTCCCTCGTGCGTGAAAAGCCCTATCTGTTTTTTTTTTATCATGGTCGATTGTTTCTGACGTGCTGCTGCCGGGGCAGTGATGATGATGACTTGGAAGCTCGGTCCGGCACTCGCCACGGGCAATTGCGTTGTACTCAAGCCCTCAGAGCTTACCCCCCTGAGCGCACTCCGTATGTGCTCACTCATCAACGAGGCCGGCTTCCCACCGGGCGTCGTTAACGTTGTCACGGGTTACGGAGAGACCGTCGGCCGGGCCATCGCGGAGCATATGAGGATCGACAAAATCTCGTTCACAGGATCAACCCTTGTCGGACGCAAGGTCATGGAAGCGGCAGCAAAGTCCAACTTGAAGAACGTCACACTTGAGCTCGGTGGAAAGTCCCCCAACGTCGTGTTCAATGATGCGGACATTGATCTCGCTGTGCACTGGTCGATCCATGGCATCTTGTGTGTTCTTCTCCATAGCATTGCCAGCCTGTTTGTTGCTCAAAGGAGTGTTTCGCTAGCTGGAATCACGGCCAGAATTGTTGCGCGGGCTCGCGTATCTATGTCCAGTCGGGCATCTACGACGAATTCCTCAAACGTTTCACAGCTCAGGCTAAGGCTCTTAAGCTCGGAGACCCATTCGCAAAAGACTCGTACCAGGGTCCCCAAGTCTCTCAGAATCAGTTTGACGTGCGTCCCTCTCTCCCCTCTCCCCCAC